CGCTTGCGTCCTCTGACGTTTGGTGAGGGCACTAGTTCGTTACGTAGTCGTGACGCACTTCCTGAGGCCAGGTTTCGCGGAGTGTCCTCTCTTGTCTTTTTCTTTCTCTATGCCACTACTGCGAGGGACGAACGGGTGCTGCTTTAAGGAGCTTCCCCCCTAAAACGACAAATGCCGAGCGTCTGGACAGGCTTCCTCCGATGGCTCTATGCGGATAGCTTGGTGGTGGTATGCTTCAGGGACACCAGAGCGCAGCCTGTGAAGGTGACAAGAGGACTCAGGCAGTGCTGCTTCTTCTCTCCGCTGCTGTAAATGCTCTATGTGGTGGGGCTCGAGGAGGCATTCGTGGAATCGGGAGTGGGCTTGGCGTACCGCCTCATGATTGATGGGGTATTGGAGGCATGGAAGCTGCCCGGCTGGGTGCTTGCAGATGATCTAGTACTACTGGCAGAGCGCAGCAGTGATCTTCAAAGTCTGGCGACCCCGGCGGCCGAACACCTGAAGCGGTTGGGTCCGCATTTCAATGCCAAAAATTGGCCATATTTCAGTTTTTGAAGGTGGAGGAGATCATGTTGTAGCTTACCGACGGTGGAAGCATTCCGGTATTAGATGAATACCAGTACCTTGGTGTAAATCTTTGCACCTCTGCAGATCTTTTTGACAAACACAAGCATGTTCGTCAAACGTTTGTGACAGCTGCCAACGTGTTGCGATGGCGGAGTTTGTGGGGGGTGTAACCAGTTTGTTCTGGTGCGCGAACTGTGGAAAGCAGTACATGTGCCAGTGCTGACATTCGCCAACGCCGTCATCTGCCTGTCCGCCTCAAAATACACCAGTGGATGGAGAGAGGTCAGCTTGAGGTTGGGTGTCTGGCACTGATTTGTCATGGACGCGTAGCTGTTGAGGCGGTCCAGATTGACCTCGGATGGTCAAGGTGTGAAGCACGGGAGGCCAGGAGCAAGGTTGCCTATGAAGGCCGTCTTCCCCTCATGAACAATCAACGATGGGCCCCGCGTGTATTTAGATATACGGCCATAAAAGGCATCAGTACACAATGGAGCAAGCGTCTTTACAAGCTGTATAGAAAGTTTTCCCGTGTTACTCACCCCGTCTGGCAGGACAGTGAGAAGGAATAGTCAGTGAAGGTGCGAACCCGAGTAGAGGAACTGGAGACGTCGATGTAGCAGGTGGCTATGGAGAAAAAGCAAGCCTGGCCTTCTACAGAGCGCACAAGATGACCATCTAAGCCGAGCGTCTATATGACAACAGTGTCGGCAGCGCTCTGCTGTCGACAGCGCCCTGCTGTGAGTGTATTGACGTCACTTTGACCCGTCGGTGGATGACAGTACTGTGCAGTGCTGGACATGTGGGTAGGACCATGAAACCATTGAAGAGATTGTTCTCCAGTGCAAACGTCTGTCACCTCATCAACCAGAGGCTTCCACACTACCTAGGGCACTTGGCTTTGTGGACGGCTGCGACACACAGGATTGAAGCGGCAACTGAGAGACCAATGTGCACCCCCTGGCAGCAACATCAATAACAAAAGCAAGGCTTTTTTGTGGTGGTCAAGTGGAGAGTGAATAGTTATAATGTTCATGAACCTGTGATAATGTTGTGATGTGCAATTTTTTGGATATGTCATTTGTTTTATCGTTCTGCTCAGGACACCGCAAGTTGCCCACCCGAGACAAAGGGGACGACCACAAACATCGTCATCTTCTTCTTCTTCTTCAAGAGCACGTGTCTCCATGTTTTAGGAAGGAAGGAAGGAAGGAAGGAAGGAAGGAAGGAAGGAAGGAAGGAAGGAAGGAAGGAAGTGCCCGGAAACAGTGGCACACACCCCCGCGGCGGGGTTAGGCCAAGAACCGGGTAATTCTGACGAAATACTGTTAGTTTGGTGGCTCACGATTTTTAAACTATTGAAAAAGGGCAAAACTTAGATGAGAAATATACAGTTAGGCATAGCGAATACAGAAAATAGAGCAGATGGTTTCAGAAATAACAATAAGTGAATAAATGAATAAAGCAATTAGTAAAAAAACGTAATTTAGGAGTCATTATTGCTTCTACAGTGTCAATCTTCTTGAAGCTTCAATAAACTCCTGCAAGGCATCGGCGACCTTCCCGTCAGTGAACCTCAAGGACAAAGCCACAAAAGAAAGTACGTTTGGAGTGGTCAACTTCAATCCTACGAGACGGAAGGCGGCATCTAATGTGATTTTGTGCAATGCAGCGTCTTTTTTACAATATATCAGATAATGTTCTGATGTCTGAGGGACTGCACAAAACCAACAAATAGGGGAAGCAACCAGACCAGCTCTGTGTAAATAAAAATGTAGATATGGAGCACGACACCTCAGCCTTGTGATGACAACTTCAATCATGGTTGCTTACAACTGCCTAAAACAGCCGCCATACTTGGCGGGCCGCCTTGTTGGTTTTCAGCTGTCGCTCATTTACGTTAATGCAACGTGGGTTCCAACGAGAACGGGGTGGTTTTTTTCATACAGCAAGTTTTGAAAGCTGAAGGGTTGTTTTATGAAGTTAGCCGCCGTTTTGTAGAACAGGAAAAACGTGTTCGTGACTGGAGTTTGTATGAATGTATGAAATACTGTTGAAACAGTTTGTTTTTCCCACTTGGTAGACCCATCGTATTGGTGGAGTGAGGGTATTTAGGGAGCCTATGTTTGCGAGGGGGAGAGCCTCGATGTCACTGTGAACGGACTTTAATGTCTGCGCTGCATTCCTGAAGCAAATTTCACTTATCACTGCAGGCACCTCAAAGGCCTTCTAGTGCATGGCTCGAGACCGTTCTCTATTTTATTTCGGTACTCATAACGACAGGGAAGGCAGATCAAACAACCGGGTAACTCACGATGTTCTTTATAGACAACATAACTCCACTAGCCTGTTTCACATACTATAAACAGTGCTTTTGCGTGTAATATAATTTTCTGTAGCAAGTTAAGTTTCTTCGAACGAATCTGTACAATGTACTGCTTAAAAACTTGACAAGGTGTAAGCATTACCAGAAAATAGTGGGGCACTCAGTCATATCACACCAAATCTCCCTCAGCCCCCCCCCCCCCCCCCACACAAGCCTGTATACTAGGCTAGAAGAAAAGCAAAGGAGAGCAACAAGGAGAAACCAAGTTTTTAGGTCAGATTTTATTGCAAATAGCATCCAAACAGCATCTGGCCTGAATTTATTCAAACCGTCCTGCCTCCTTTATTGGAAGCTTGTGTCCTCGCAGTGGGCCTACAATAAAGCAATCAGGCAAAAAGTCATACAAGGCACCGACCACATATACCACCACATATACGGAGTCTATACACATATTTTTTCTACAAGCACTGAGTAAAACTGAGTTCATGATATCAAAGAATCTTTGTTGCTGGTTATAAAACAAAAGACGACAAAAATAGCAACGCAGTGCAAATCTCCCATAGGGCATATTTTAAATTATGGCAAACAACCGTTCTGTTTAGTGTCCGTTCAAGACCGACAGACACATAGAGGACGAACGGATGGACATGAACAGTGAATTTGTCTCATTCTATATTATTAAAGCGAAATAGTTTTTGCCACTGTTGAGGGAGTTTCGGTGTGGTTCCGCGTGTAAATTAAGGGAAGAACGAATACCCCATGGCAAGTTGTGTGGCAACTGTGCAAGACTACAAGAGTGTACAGCGAACGCGTTCGTCAGCTCGTCTGTTTACCTCTTCAAATGCCCTTCCTCAGCGACTGAGATAAAAATGCAGAAACGCGAACATCTCCCAGCAAAAGAAGACGCGAACGTGAGCGTCTGTTAGTGGTTTACGGGATTGGAGTTTCTCGCGACGATATGTGGCGATATACTCAATACAATCGCAATACAGCGGGTACTCACCTCATAAACACGGGGAGAAGTAATCGGCTTCAAGCAACCTCGCTTCACTTCTGTAGTCCAGCGTTTCCGTCAACTAGAGCAAGTTGGGAAGCGGGACAGTCTCCACCAGATGGTTTTGCATTGCGGCACGCAGCACCCTGGCATTTACACTCCAAAGTTATTGCAGGTGCGCTTAGCACGAGGATGGTGTCACAGCGGAAGGTAGGTCCAAACGCAGATCATACCGCAGATTGCACACCCGCGCCAACACGCAGCTGGTGCAGTGCGGCGGAGCAAGAAAGCCTGCCCATGAGAACTAACATGGCGCTTGTTTCCATGGAAACCAGGACTGACAACAATAGGTTTTAACGGGTGGCGGTGAGTGGTGAGTGAAAGGCTAGCACCAGCCTAAAACATGGAGACACGCGCACATGAAGGCTCCCTAGCATGCACTGCCGGTTATAACAGGCTCCATGTTCACGCTATTTTGTGTCCGCTGGCTTTATTGGTTTCGGCGGTGATGATGACATCGTTAAACGCAAGAGTGGTTCTTAAGAGCAGAACTGTAAATGTGGTTCAGAGTACTGTATCGAGAAACTTTTCATTAGGCTAGTCGTATTTCTTGAAGGCAACGGTCACGGTAACCTCTGAATCTAGGCCACGTAACCCATGAGTCCACATTGACAACGAGCTCTCGCGTACTACGCCGCAGGCTGCTTCTTGCGATGCTCAACGTAAAAATCAAAGCAACTAAGGCTTAATAGACTTTTTGTATGTCTTTCTCCGTAGAAAAAAAAGCTACACACGTTGTCGGTAAGCAGGCTATTTTGTGTCCTTTGCACGAAGGTCAGCGGCCTCGGCACCAGCAAAAACAAAGCCCCGCGTGCGTTAAGTACAATGTCGTGCATCATTAGCCCGCTGACGCATCAAGTCAAAATAGCGCACCCTATGACAGTTCTTTAGTTTTTATCGTGCAATAACAATGAGAATATGAATTAAAGAGGGTGATTTTTTCTCGCTCATCGTTGACGAAACGGAACTTCCTATGACGTCAACAATGCAAGCCCGCATCGTTGATAAACGAGGAGGCTGGTGGAGTAAAAAACATTCTCTTGTGTTCTAACGACTTAGGTGATGGCACGAATCGCCGGCTTCACTATAATTTCAACCATACTTCTAACAGCTATGGTAGACAGTGTTCTGGGGATTGATAACCAAAGTGAAAAGGAACAAGAAGGCGAAAGCGACAACCAGAAAATGGAAGATAAACAAGACGTTGATATTGCAAAGGTGAGAATCTTTCATCAATTTTTGGCCGGTAGGATAATATTTATATATAAAAAGCCAGTACCACAAAGGCTAAAAGTGGAGAAATTTATTTGACGAAAGTTCAGTTGAGGATCAGATCATAAAGGATTATACGAAAGGACCCACCTTCTAGTACGATAGCGTTAAAGACCTCGTTGCGCAGAAATTTCGTCATCGGCGTCGTTGCTTGTGAGCGAAAAATCATCTTATGCACGATCGAAAAATTGAAATAACGAAAAATACCGCGACCGAAAAATGGAAATGCGCAACCGAAAATGAAAAAATGGAAATGGAGAACGATGGAAATAAAGAAAGTCATAAAAAATTGCAGCACATCCACGGAGTGAATGATGGCGAGTGGGGTGAGCATCCGCCCGTCCATTCATTCTTGCTTCCGTCCATCCACGCGTGCGTCTGTGAAACCGCCCGTGCGTCCATCCGCCCGTCCGTGCGTGCGTCTGTTTGTGCGCCCGCAAGTCCATCTGTGCGTCCATCCCTGCGTTCGTCCATGCATCCGCTCTTGCGGCTGTCCATGCGTCCATCCGTCCGTGCAGCGATCCGTGCATCCGTCTATGCATTTGTCTGTGTCCGTTCGTTCACCTATTCAACACTGCAAGTACTACCATCTCGCATCTTTTCATCAGATAATCCTCATATAGAAGCACCGCCATCCAGCGGACGTTCCAAGGACTGAACGAGAGGAGGCACACGCACACTTTCTTACGGCTTGTGCTTCGTGTCTACTTCCCACCTTTAACCACCTCGAGTTCATGGTATATACTAGTTCACTGTATTCATGGCACTGTGGCCCAACGCTCGCTAAACCTTTCTAAAACCAAAGAGGTTACCCCCAGCGATTATAACGTAGCAACCCTTTCTTGTCAGATAGTGCTCTATGTACATGCCAATGGCTGCTAAGGGGTAATGAGAGACAGGAGAGTTTGGCTCTTAGTTAACGCGTACGCGGCGATTTTTTAGATGCGGAGCATCTAATACTCGAGGCTTGTAGTGCGGCGCCGTCCGCAAGCTTCCTCCTCCTCCTTCCACCATCTGTGCATCCCTTCCTCCTCTACACACCACGCGCGCTTCACTCCTCCACCATCTGTGCACCTTTCCTCCTCTACACACCGCGTGCGCTTCTCCTCTTCACGAACATTTGCTAGGTGTATAATGTAGCGCGCATGCGCCGTCACGCTTCGAGAACATCGGCAGCTGACGCGCGCGCATGCGCCGTCGCGCTTCGAGAACATCGGCAGCTGACGCGCGCGCATGCGCCGTTGCGCTTCTCCCCCTTCTCGAACATTCGACAGCTGACGCGTGCATGCACCGTCACCCACCATCTGTGGCGCGCGCGCTTCTCCCCTTCGAGAACATTCTACAATTCTCCTGATTCTCCAGTGGACGCGCATGCGCCGTCGCGCTTCGAGAACATTCAACAGCTGACAGTGCATGCGCCGTCGCGCTGTATATACTCAAGGTCGGCGCTCGCTCGCTCAGTTGCCGCTCGTCGGTTGGTTTGTACGGCGCGTCGACGTCCAAGGTCGCGGTGAAATGAATGCCAACGAATCCACAAACACAATGATCGACGTCCCTTCGACCAGCGCCGCCCTTTCGCATACGTGTGTACGTGTTAACTCATTTAACACCCCCTCCTACAACCACGTTAACCAATTTAGCCATCGACCCAAGTAAGTCGCAATTTAACACCCCATTTCACAACCACGTTAACCAATTTAGCCATCGACCCAAGTAAGTCGCACTTTAACACCTCGTTGACCAATTATATGCTCCGCATCCTCCTCAGTGTTCCCCCGAGGGAAGCTGCGGGCAATTTTTTTTAACCTCAAAGGTGGTGCCGGTGAAAGATTTCTTCTGCGCGTTGTTGAACAAGAAAAAAATTGCCCGCAGCTTCCCTCGGGGGAACACTGAGGAGGATGCGGAGCATATAATTGGTTAACTGGCCGGCGCTGGTCGAAGGGACGTCGATCATTGCGACCTCGGACGTCGACGCGCCGTACAAACCAACCGACGAGCGGCAACTGAGCGAGCGAGCACCGACCTTGAGTATATATACAGCGCGACGGCGCATGCAATATCAGCTGTCGAATGTTCGAGAAGGGGGAGAAGCGCAAGGGCGCATGCGCGCGTCAGCTGCCGATGTTCTCGAAGCGCGACGGCGCATGCGCGCGCGTCAGCTGCCGATGTTCTCGAAGCGTGACGGTGCATGCGCGCTACATTATCTGGTTACACACTACGACTATAATAGTACTACTACAAGGGATGAACGAATGCCGCTTTAAGGAGCTTCGCCCCTAAAAAATTGGCCCCATATCTGCATGTAATCTGTAAATGTGATTGAAAGACGATAGTCTTGAGTGTGGAGAGAGTGAACAAAATATTTATTTGATGTTCTGTGCAATAAAATTGGTGAATGGTATTCCGGAGGCGCTGCGTTAGAGTGCCTCGAGCGGGCAGCGGAAACAAACGAGCGCATCGAGGCACGTTAGCCACGAGCAGCATCTGGCAGTTATCACCGAAAACGAAGAAGGCCTGCGTGCCTGCGGAGAAAGATGCGTGCATTCTCGGAGGTGATAAGGTGTAAAAGTCAAAGCGACGGGCAGGTGCCACCACCAAGTCGTTTTAGCAAAGCGTTGGTAAAACTTGCCTTTTTGAGCCCCGCGTCACACTGTCAGCGCAGCGTGTTTAACGCTACGGTCCTTAGAATTACTTGTGTGTGTTCTCTAGTATAGAGACTCATATACAAAACATAGACGTGTTGCTATGGTACCTCAGATATGCGCAATCATTGCTTTTTCATTGACAATCGCACACCTAAGAACTCTGATCCTTGGGCAACATTGGTGGGTGCTGCGGATGCGGTCGGTCGTTCGTGGTATCGGTTGGTGATGTTTAGAGTAACCAATTCACGGTAACGGTGAACAAACAGACAAACTTACAGACAGACAGACCAAAACTTTTGCGTCGAAGGTCCCCAAGAAAGACTATCGTATTTAAAAACTGGGACCATCTCCTCGAAGGGAACTCTGATTTAAAGTCAGGTTTATTGCGTGTGGACCGATGAGTTAGTGGAGTAACGAGTGGCGGTCGCTGCAGGTGTTATGGGCGAATGGAAGAGGCGGCATCTGCAAGTGCTGCAACGACGTGGCGATCGGGTTCGTCAACGCGCAGTAGCGGTGTGACCTACTTGGCACCGCGCCAACACCTACTCCGCGCGGCACATTGCATGAACGGACAACGTTATGCAGGCTAGTCAGAGAACAGCTTGGCATTAAAAAAAAAGCCTGAAGTAGAGTGGCGACCAAACGAGGGTGATTCGGGTGTGAGGCGGATCGAACCCGGGTCGTTTGCATGACAAGATGATGCTCTACCACACGGCAACGCGTCTACACATAAGTACAGTGAAAAAAACTTACTCTGCTTGGAAATGCAGTGAAAGTAGCGTTTATGTTCTATAAACACACGCGTCTTGAATACATGCTTCACAATGCATCCTAAAATTTGCAGTAGTAATGCGTGGTACAAATGTCCATTGCCAGCGGGTGTCAGCCCATGTGATTATCACAATGGCTTCGTAGTTTGAAGCCATTCACCTACTACAAGGCACGCACACTATTACGCCTATAACTTTAAGGCAGCGAGGTGGGTGCATAGTAAGTTCACAAAGGTTTCATGCACTATGTGCTTGAAGTACGCACTAAGAACTGAAGATCGCTTTTGCGTTCAACTTCTAAAGACGAAGCTTTAGGGTACCCTAATTTTTGGTCTCCTTTTGAAGCTTGTCAATGTTTTTGAATAAAGGCACGTTCACACTGAGCGTGGAGCAGGCAAGCGGGCAAGCTGCGGATTTTCGAAGCGGTGAGGCACTGAGTGCATACGGCTGTTCAGACTAATCGCGTTGCCTTCCCCCCACTCTACCACGAGTAATCTCTGGATGGTAGATTGCACGAGGCAATCTACCAATCCAGAGTAGGTGAGTCGCCATATTGCAGCACCACGTGATACTGGGCGCGTGTCTCGGGTGCTCGTTGGTTGCGGCCAAAACGGCCACCGCTTCCGTGCGGAGAAACTTGTTCCTGGCGCGATCCAGACAAGCTGCCGCGAATTTTCCGCTTTTGTGGATAATCCGAGTCCGCTTTCTGGACCCGACTTTTCACTTTCCGGGTCTGCGCTCGGCGTGAACGTGCCTTAAAGGTGTATGATTTGGTGGTATCATTCATGATGCTACCAGATAAGTAAATCTACTTGCAGCTTCACACAGCCAGAGAGAGTGAGAGCAATGTAGGTGGCTTGCTTAACAGCGCGAATCGCACATCAAAGTTATTTTCAAGCAACGTCGACTTTATCCCATCTGAAAATATATTTCATTGATGTTCTCCATTTAGCGACAACGTTAAAGAGCTCGTTTCATAGAAATTCTGGTGTTGGCGTCGGCGTCAGTGTCATGGTTGTGAGAAAAAAAACCATCGTCTGATGCGTGACCAAACAATTGAGAGCGATACGAATAAAATAAATAAATGATAACAAATCTTGCAGCAGAGCGGGGACAAAAAACACGGTTGTTCGGGTCTGAGGGGGGATATAACCTTGGTCGTTTTTGTGGCAAGCGGATATTCTACGACACGGCCACGCCTAATTTTCTGTACACGGTATTTAAAAGATTACATAATAAAACAGTACACCACAACGCACAGTGTTCAGCTATTGCAGTCCTATAGCGACAATGAGCATACGAGAATTGCTTATAAAAAAGTCAAAGGTTAAAGCTCTATAGTATAGGAGGGTTCGTCATCATGCGCTGGAAAACATAAGTGGCGAGGTCAAGAACTTCAGCAAGACGGGGTACCAGTCTGGTCGAAAGTCAAGTTCTTTATAAAAATACTGTAAGTAAATAGCCATTCGGATGACATATGTGCGTGAAAAGGTGATTGGCTTGGCGTTTCGGTCCTGCATACGCGCATTCC